TATATATATATATATATATATATATATATATATATATATATATATATATATGTATTAAACACATAAAAGCATGACTTCGATACTTAGTCATTCTTTAATATAGGATAACATTCTGACATTTATAATATAAGATTATATGTTCTTTAAAAACGGATATAAAACCAAGACTACACAAGATCCAAAATCTGCAACTTTTATGTGTATTTAGTGAAGTCACATTTGTTCAAATATACCACTACATACGAATATATGCGTTTAATTAATTATTCCATGTGCAGTGAAAATATAAAAAAAATAAGTATTACATACGAATATATGCATTTAATTCATTCAATTTTTGCAATATCTTTTATAGATGTAGAATATCTCAAATATACCACCGTTCATCTTATTTTTTCATTTTAAAATTTTAGGAAGACGACAAAATTAAAATAAATTTAACTTTATAAGATCTTAAAAAAAAACAAAAAAAGGATCAAATCCGAAAACTAACGAAACTCAAAATATTTGTCCCTACTTAAATACATTACTATCGTTTAATCTAACTCTTATTGAATATATAAAATCCTACATTAAGATTATGGTATAACATAGTTGATGAAAAAGCAGAGCGAACGTATAAGTAATCTTACAAAACAAAAACATTAAAAAATGTGTCTTCTCATCACATTGAGCGAAGCTAACTAAAGTATACTACACTAGTAGTGTGATCATATATTATAGCAACGAGAAAGTAAAGAAGCCCGGTCCCTCCTTTTGGTCCGGAAGGTCCAGTCTTATTTTATATATATATAAAAAAAAAAGTGAATGATATGGAAGCAAAGAAAAATAAATAAAATAAAATTTGATCGTGGAATGATGGCGCACGTGACAAGAACTGCAAGGGAGGAGCGTCATCACGTGAATGAAGAAGACGACGCTCCACATCCTGCATTCTAATAATAATCCAAAAAAAACATATGATATAATGCTTTACATTTAATATAAAAGCTTTTTTCATCATTATTTACAATCATTTTGAAAATATATAATAGTATAAAGCTTTATAAATATTTAAATCTGATGAATGCATGTGTTTAACCATCTTAAACTTAAATCGAACCTTTGACTGAGTTAAGTTTTTACGATTCCAAGACGGTCAAATTTTGACCGTACACGCCCGACTTAATTATTTTGGTTATAAATTACAGGTTGGATAAATATATATTTTTTCCAACATTCTTTCTTATTTGTTTTTTTTTTAATTACTGTAGTAACATGCCAGATAAAGAGTTAGGTGGGGACGCATCATGGTTGTTTGGGTGAATGTTAAACTTCGTTTAAAAAAAAAGGTTATAAAATTGCTGGGATGATAGAGAGTTATGTCTTTCTATTCACTTGTTCCTAATCATTATTTTGTTTTTCAAGTTGTGAATGGAGAGATATTATTTAATAATAGAATAATTCTAAACAAACCAATGGTGTCGTGGTGTAGTTGGTTATCACGTCAGTCTAACACACTGAAGGTCTCCGGTTCGAGTCCGGGCGACGCCAAATTTTATATTATTTATTTTTTAAAAATATAAAATCTTAATGGGTCAGATATGGTTGAGGCCCATATACGTCGTTATGTCAGCCCATCTTATGATCCAGGCCTGTCTTGTTATCCAATAAAGTAACAATTTTTTTTCCTTAGATATATATATATGTGCATCCAGGTTTCGACTAGTTCTCTCTCCCGCTTTTTTTTTTTTCCTGCGAAACAAACAGCCGCAGTTTTCCCCAGAAAATTCTGAAGGATCATAAGATCACCGAGGAGAAGAAATTGAGATCGGGTTCCCGATCAGCTGCGCGATACGCTTAGTCGTGAGTCTGATCTGATCTGCTCGTGGAGTTTGAATTAAGCTGATTTCTCCGGATCCGCATTCGAATTCACGCCATCGTGTGAGATTTCTATACTCTTTTCGTGTTTCTGGTTTCGCTTTGTCCATATTATGCGGCTTTGAGTTTCGGATTTAGTGGAGCTGATGAGGTCGAGGATTTAAAATTCGAATGTTTGGATTCTCTAGAGTTATGGAAATATGAATTTCACGTTTCTGATAATTCGAGTACGATTCAAACGGATGCATCGATATGAATGGATTGAATTCGAATTCTTTCCCTGTCTGCAGATCTCTAAAATTAGCACTTAACACGATGAAAAACTATCGATCCTGATGATGAACTTTGAACTGAATTCATATTTCCTTTAATAAGTTAACTGAATTGATTCCGATTCTTCATTAACTTGTTGCAGAAGAAAGGTTAGTGACAGACCAGAGATGCAGAACACTGACGATCTCTGCCCAAAGCGTTTGAGAGCAGCAGTGGTTTCAGTACCGCCGCCGCCTCCAATGCCGTCAGATCTCTGTACTATGACAAGGAAGATGACGGATCAGTGGCTACAACGAGGTCAAAGCCTTGTATCTTCTGCAACGAAAGATTCATGGGACCGAATGTTTGATGAAGGCTATGGATCCGATGTAGTAATCCACACAGATGACAACGGATCAATTTTTGCACACGCTAATGTCCTTGTAAGTTTTCATCCTCTAGAATTTAGTTACCTATCTCCAACAACATCTGTTTCAGCAGATTGTTATTGTATTCCATCTGTTGATTAACAGGAAGCGGCTTCGGATGTGATCAAAGGAATGATAAAGCGAGCAAAGAGAAAAGGTCGGTGGAGATCGATCTCAATCCGTGGCATTCCACAAGATGCTATTCGAGTTTTTGTCCGATTCTTTTACTCTTCCTGTAATCATTTCTCTACGTAGATAGTAAAAAAAAGGAAATTTGAAATTTTTTTTTGCGTTTATACTGATTTGAACCAGTTCTGCAGCTATGAGCAAGAAGATATGGAAGATTTCGCTATGCATTTGTTGGCGCTTTCACATGTTTACGTGGTTCCACCGTTGAAAACGCTATGCGAGTGGCACTATGAGAAAGGATTGCTCACCAAAGACAACGTGATCGACGTCTTTCAGCTCTCACTGCTATGTGATGCTCCACGCCTCGGCCTTCTCTCTCACCGGATGATCTTAACGTACTTTGAAGAAGTTTCCATATCTGAAAGATGGCAAGCGATGAAGAAAAGCCACCCCAGACTCGAGAAGGAGCTTTTACAATCGGTGGGCTATGAACAGAACGTAAGAACCCTCATACCACCCAAACACACAAATCCAAAAAAGTCTTCAACTTTGAACAAACCCGAGAATTCTTATACCAAAATCTTTCTATTCGACCTCAGAAACAGAAGCAAAGGATCAAGAAATAGGAAGAGAGAAAGATATACACGCAGCTGTACGAAGCAATGGAAGCCTTTGTTCATATATGCAGAGAGGGATGCAGAACAATAGGAGGACCAAAGAACAAAGATTCACACGAGGTAAATCCGCAATGCGGATATTCAGAGTGCAAGGGACTGGAGATGGTGCTAAGGCATTTTGCTGGGTGCAGACTGAGAGTGGTTCCAGGTGGGTGCACCCATTGTAAGAGAATGTGGCAGCTCCTTGAATTCCATTCCCGTATTTGTGTAGATTCAGAACAATGCAATGTCCCTCTGGTAAGATCTACGATCCGTAATTCTCACTCTGGTTTTGAAAAATATATAGTCTATATGGGATATATAGGTTCAGGAACTGGATGAACATTATATATATAGAGCCGTCTCATGAATTTACGAGGCCCTGTTCAATATATATATATATAATTATTTTTTTTTCTAATTTTTAAAAGTTAATTATTAAATCATTATAAACCATATTTAGTTCAAATTATATTATAAAATAAATATTAATAAATTTCTAGAAATATTTAATATTTTCAAAATATACTAATTAATAGATAAAATTTCAAATTATATAAAAATAAAATAAAACTATAACAAATAAATTATACAATAGAAAATTTTAAAAAACACATCAATTATTAGTTTTAAAGAGTAATCCAAATTAAAATAAAATTTATTTTCATAAAATTTTGTTTAATTTTTAGTTTTTATACTGATAGTACAATAATAATGATTAAAATTATATAATAATAGTTATCTTTTAGGGATAATTCCATTTAAAACCCTGTACTTTTCTCTCGTCGCAATTTAAACCCTGTACTTTTTTTTTATCCAAAAAAACATTGTACTTTTAAAAATTGGCAATTAAAACTCTATACTTTTAAAAATTAGCAAATAAAACCCTGAACGAAAAACAATATTATTTAATGCTGACATGGCATCCTAGTCATCTGCCACATCATCAATCCCTAATATTTAATAATATTAATTAATATAAAATAAAAATAAAATAATAAAAATAAAAATAAAATTTTAAAAATTATATATATTCATAAAATTATACACATATATAAACATGTTTATAAAAATTTTAAAATTATATACATATATAAATATATTTATATATACATATATACATATATATACATATGATACATATATATATCTATATATGTGTATAATTATTATATGTTTTATATGTATGTGTTATATATGTATTTTTCCCTAAAAAACATTATATATATATGTATGATTTTTAGGAAAAAAAATCATATATCACACATACATAAAACATATTTATATATA